GCTCCTCAGCAGACTTGTTCTCCAGACCCCTCACCAGCCTCGTTGCCCTTCTCTGGACACGCTCCAGCACCTCAACGTCCTTCTTGTAGTGAGGGGCCCAAAACTGAACACAGTATTCGAGGTGCGGCCTCACCAGTGCCGAGTACAGGGGCACGATCACTTCCCTACTCCTGCTGGCCACACTATTTCTGATACAGGCCAGGATGCCATTGGCCTTCTTGGCTGCCTGGGCACACTGTTGCATACTGGTCTGAATAACTGAACTATGTATGGAGAGTGATGGGGCACTTGTATTAATGTTTTAGTTGGACCCAGTGTGGCCACTGGGTCCTCAGCACCCACTGTTTTGCTCAACAAGTCTTCTCTGACTGGCCTGCTCTACTTGTCTACTCATAGACACAGCCTGAGCAGAATAATACGTATTCTGCATTGCAGTGGCTGGTCTCAGAACCTCGTTTTCTCTCACGAAAAGTACTTTCCATTTCACCTGGGATGGGAACTGGCACGTGCTTTAAAACCTGATGTTAGGATTGAGTGGTTTTGTAACATGCCCCAGTGAAACACCCATCAAGTTGCTGAGTTGCTGAGTTGCTGCAGGAGGAGACCGGAGAGCATATTGACTTAATGTAACAGTCAAATTCCCAGCTTCTTTCTGCTTTGCCACTACCCTTAACTTTAAAGCAACATGCAACCCTTGATATGGTAAGACAACCTGGCAAGAAAGATTGCTGACACAAGGAAATACAGAGGTATCTCATATGCCTTATTCATCAACATGGGCAAAAAAGTGGCTACAAAGAGAAAATGCTTCAAGTTTTGTTTCATTGTTTTTCCTAGCGAGTACAAGGATTTTTTGTTCTTAAAGTATGGAACAATATCACTGGAGCTTTTTTCTCCCTCCAGATGCATTTTGGGGCAATTCTGGGCATCTTTTATATAAAGGACTAGATTCATAAGAAAGTAGTCCTTTATTACAAAAACATGGCTTTTTTAAAATGAGAAAATGACTGATAAGTGTCTCCAGTTATCTTGACATTCCCAAGCTATTTGCAAGTATTACTGAGATCATATTGCCCTTGAACCCTCTCACTGGCATTGTGGGGAAAAAAAAAATCACTATTTCATCTGATGATGGGATGATGATTTTACAGTCAATCTGTAAAAGCATATCCGAGTGCCTGGCAAAAAACCAAATTCCTACCTGGAAGAATTTATAAATTAACAGTAATTGTTCAGGTCCAAGCTTAAAGGACTTTTGATACTAATGAATGCAGTGCACATACACAAGAAAGCAAAAGGCATAGATTTGTAATGCAGATTAAAAAACAGTCCAATCTTAAAATAAAAACTCTGAATCACAGAAGCAAGTTCCTGGCAGAAACTGGAAAGATGGAAAGCATTCCAGAAATGTAAATGCAATCTGAGATCATTGTCTGCATGTCAGTAGTTCTGAACAACCATCAATAAATTCACTTGATAATAAAAATGAGCTATTGTATTGGGAAAGCACACATTGTTCTTTTGCCAGTATAAACTGTAAAAGAAATGCAATGAATTCCTCCATTTTATCATAATATCAACATTAATCCCAGAGGAACCTGTGATTCCTAGACCTGACTCAAGGGTGACTGCAGAGAAGGGACACTGGCTGGCAAGGTATACAGTGGGAAAAGGGTAGTCTGACACTGCACTCAGAATTCATTATGGCAAAATGCAGACATAGCTCCTCTTCAGTTTCAACTTGCAATGGAGCTAACAGAAAGGAGGGGGAGAAAAAGCATGCTCTAAATGTTTAGAAAATATCAGTATTCTGAGGACACTTAAAGAAAAATGGACAACCTTCAGACTGTCATTAAAGTAAATTAAGAATAAATCATGAAAATCGGTGTGTTCTGAGACTGCCTAGACTCCTTTCCATCACTGTCATTCTTCTTTTCGACTGCGGTAAAGGCACTATTTCTCTGTTGCCTCTTATATCATCCCAGCCTGCTGACTTCAGCTCTCTGGGGCCAGCTGATTAAATTAAGACCTCACTCAGGTAAATCTATTCCCCTCTTTCAGTTGGCCATGTCCAGCATTGGAACTTGATTGGCCTCTATAAATCGGGCAGACTGAAATATATTAATTCGTTTATTTTCTTAACATTGACTTAACCAAAAATCTAAGGTAAGATTTAATGCTATCAGAGAGGCTGTTGGTTTTTAAAAGCTTTCCTCTCAGTCACTGCTTAATGCACTACATAACAAGCATTAAATAATACATTACAAAATTCTGCCTTTATCCTTTCCATGGGAAGGACTACGTTCTGAATTCTCTCTCTGTCTTTACAGCAGAGCATCTTCTGATGCTATTCTAATTTGGGATTTAATTGTGCAAAACAGGCATTTTATTTAAAATGCTCTGTTTCCTCTCTTCTTAAAAATAAATAAAAATAGCCTCAGTCCTAATTCAGTTCAAGATCTTTTTCAATCCTATATTTAGTTTTTAAGGCACAAATTTCAGCAGTGTAAAGATTTCATGTTTTATTCCAGTTTTCTCAGAGTTCCTGTTGCTTACTCACTCCAGGGGTTTGGGCTGAGAGACTCCAAGTTAAATGAGTTTCTCCTCTTAAATCTTTTTCTCAGAGGCAGAGATGGTTATGTTCAGTCTACTACTGACATTCAAAAAGCAAAAAAATAGTGAGCATACTAAAAAAAAAAGTGTCAGTGTAAAGACTAGCACAGAAATGGAACTCCAGTCTCAACAAAGCAAACCCCAGATGTTCAATACCCATGAATCAAGCCCCCGGATGATGACTTCATAAAACCAACCAAACAAACCCCACAACTTTGGTTTGTTCTAGTATTTACCTTCTGTGCTTTGAAGGCTTTATGGTTCCCAATTAAAAACTTTCTCCATTGCTAGAAACTTTCTTCCCATCATCAGCCCCGCTCTCCTTTCCAGAAAAGGAGTGGTTAAAATCTTTGAAGGCTTCAGCTAACCTCAGGCTAACACATGTGATGGCCTTTTGGACACTAGCATATGAATATTATTCTACGCTGTTTATTTATCATGACAGTGATACAGCCACTCTAGTAGCTACTGTGCAGTTCCCTTATCCAAGCTCCCAGTGTGAATATTCAAATCCTGCCAATAGGGGTACTTAGTGAAGGCAGCTGACTGCCAAAGCAGCCTTCATGTGAACAGCCTTTCGGGACTCTTGCCGAGGACGAGGTCTGTCGGGGTCAGTGAAGATGGCTCAGAGTCCCTTTAGGCCCCGTGATTACTATGAATGCAGGGAACAGCTCAGTTAGTCCAGGGGATTGAGTCCACTTCCTTAGCTGAACTTTCATCCATGTTAACTGCTGTTAAATTCACATCTTGACAACATAAACAAAGCACGTAATGAAAATTACTTGACCTTGATGTTTAGAGCATTTAGGATTATCTTCACCTCAAAGATCTAACTGCAGATTGCTACTCAGTAATGCATGTGCTGCCCAGACGGCACTGAACTTCTCCAAAATACTTATATGGATCAATACTATTCCTCAGAGAGACTAGCTTAGGATAAAAGGGAGAGTCAAAACTGTCACTGTCATCTAATTTAGGAACAGGAAACCTCCCCTACAGTGAGGGCTGAACATGCTTTTCAAATGCATTTGGTGAGTCACACATAAAAGCACACCTTAATCTTAGCCAGTAATGATACAGGGGCACAACAATGCAATTATTATTTTTTTAGGTTATTACCAGGTTATCTGACACAAGTTCAAGTCATATTGGCACCCCAGCTGTTAGTTCCCCCTCCCTAGCCTAAATGATTTGCAGTTTGCTACTGAGAGGGATTATCAAAGATGTAACTATTTATTGGTGTACTTGCATGCTATTGCTCTCTAATGAACAGTATCAGCAAGGTCTACTTAAATGTCTGTTGAGGTTTCCTATTGCCCTGCCAAGGGATGAACAAGTTCATCTACTTAACAGAAACCCCTTTCCATTTTTGTCCTTCTCTTGACCTGACATGAGCTCAGTCCTTTCTCTGTGATTGCAAATGATCAGTGTGATAGGGAGTCTTTCCCTGCAAAGATTTGCCAGTGCCACTGAACCTTCCTCATCTCCTGTCTGAA